TGGTATTTTCATGCAAATTCTTCTGCTAGTTGGGGTTTAGTCCACTTCTATATCCTTCCCTTCAAGGCTCAGGGGTCTAGGATTATCTTCTGTGTCTGTGTTAATTGGTTTCCCTTTTCTTTGTTGAAGAGGGTCTGTGCATTCTTTCTGCCTAGTCCGCGATCTTATTGGAACTTGAGTTATGAATCTTGTTTTATTTTTCTGCAAATGGATATCCACTTTTGCCAGCACCATTTGTCAGGGAGACTGTGTCTTTCCCATTAAATGGATTGCAGCCCTTTATCGAAGATCAGCTGTCCATAGGTGGATGGATCTATTTGTGGGGTTTTAATTCTGTTCCACTGCTCTGTGTAACAACATTGGGTTGTTTTGACTACTGTGGCTGTCTAGTCAGTTTTGAGATTGGGGAATGTGAAACCTGCCACTTTTGAACATAATCTTTTAATTAGTTGAAGTTATTAACGAGTCTTTCATAGTTTGCCCTTTTTGGTTTGTTTAAGAAATCTTTTCCTACCTCAGAATCATAAGGATAATTTCTTACATTTTCTTTAAAAGTTTTCAGTTGGCTTTTCACATTAGATCTGTAATCCACCTAGAAATGGTTTTGGTATGTGATTGGAAGTAAAGATTCAATTTTACTTATTTTGCCACATGGATGATCAGTTGTCCCAGTAACTCTTCCCTTCTGATCTGCAGTATGACCTCTGTCATACATGAAGTATTTAAATGTTCATGGTTCTTTTTCTGGGCTCTCTTTCTACCATTGGCTGATTTATAGGTGTCAGTACCATACTGGCCCAATTATGCTAAATTTATAATAAGTTTTGGTATCAGGTAGGGCATTTTACATTCATTAAGCTATAATCCTTACTTAATTGGTTTAAACTTTTAAATCTATGCTTATAGATGGTAAAGACTTTCTTTTTACTATTTATTTTAAATACTATTCATAGTGATTATTATAAAAAGTTGATTTTTTTTTAACATTTTGAATTATGAGGCCATTAATTATAATAACACCTCTTTGTCAGAGTATTTTTGTATCCTTATTTCTTTGTGGAATATTTTCCTCTTTTTAAGGTAACCGTACTTTTCCCAAAATGTTGTACTGCAATTGGACTGGAGGTTATAAATGGTCTACTGCGCTAGCACTAAGGTAAGCTTTGTTGCTAATAAATTAAAACAGTGATTCCATTTGGACTTCTGTAGGATCAGTAGAATCTTCTTAAACTTAGTTCAGTTAAGCTGTTCCTTAACTTGGGTCCTACCATGTATGTCAGATACACTCTGGGAGACATATAGTTGCAAGAAGATGTACCAGTGCCTGTGTTGTTATTGTTTGCCGTCGAGTCGACCCCGACTCATAGCAACCCCTCCTTGGGTTTCCGAGGCAGTATCACTATGGAAGTAGGATTGCCCAACCTTCCTTCCGAGGAGTGGCTGGTGGGTTTGAACCGCCAGCCTTCTGGTGAGCAGTCAAGTGCCTTAGTCACTGTGCTACCAGAGCTCCCCCGTACCAGTGCCTAGTGGAATTTAATGACAGAAATGTTAGCTTTTCTCCCAAGATGCCCATACATTCTAGAGATGACACAATTGACTCATTATTGTTAGAACCAGTCAGGGTTTCCCATCCTAAACATACTGTGAATTGGTAAATGCCTAATTTCTCCATTATAAATCATTTTAAAATAGGTAGATTTGTGATGTATATTTTAAATTTTTGGTAACTTCTTACTATAAAAAATAATGTGTGCTTAATACCAGAAACCTGGGAAGGAAAATGACAATGGCAAAGAAAAAAGCATGAAAAATCACTTACAAATAATTTTTGTTAGTGTAAGTTATGCCATCTAGAGTTGAAGGCATAGAGTTGGAGCCCTAGATCCTGAGGCCTGCAGCCCAGCATAGGGTAGGATTTCTCGTTCTTGTCACCATTGACATTTTGGATAATTATTTATTGTGGGTGCTATCTTGTGAACTGTGGGATATTAGCAGCATTCTTAGCTTCTGCCCACTAGATGCCAGTAGCACTCCTAGTCATGACAATCAGAACCAGCTCCAGATGTGGCCAGATTCCCCTAGGGTGCAGAATCACCTCTTGTTGAGAACCATTGCATTAGGGTTTGGGCTGGGGAAGGAGAAGGATCCTGCCTGGCAGAAAGGTGTGAAAGAAGAGTCCAGGATAGAAATAACAAAAACAAGGTAAGTGGCCATGGTGTTTGTCAGAAATGGTTCAAATTAGAACGTAATATCTGCTTCTTTTTTAAAATGTACTTTTAATTTTGGAATAAATTTAGATTTATAGAAAAGTTGCTAAGATAATAAATATATTGAGTATTATACCCAGTTTCCCCTACTGTTAACATCTTTCCTGGTACATTTAGCAACTTTTAAACATTAAGAATTGTTTCATTCTCAGAGTTCAGTATACCCACTGCTGCCATCAGGTCGATTCCGACTCATAGCAACCCTATCAAGACGTAGTAAAACTGTCCCCATAGGGTTTCCAAGGCTGTAAATCTTTATGGAAGCAGACTGTCCCATCTTTTTCCCACAGAGTAGCTGGTGGATTCAAACTGCAGACCTTTTGGTTAGTAGCCAAATGCTTGAACCATTGCCCTGCCAGAGCTTTTAGAGTTCAATATAGTATATTAAAAAATGCTCAGTTTAAGAGATCTAATATTCACATTTGCTTCCAAGTAATCTGGAATGGAGGAGGGGCAAGGGTAGATGGTCCAACACTGGCTTTATATTGATAATTGTTGGAGCTGGGTCATGGGTATAATTCTCTTTACTTTTTTATGTTTGAAATTTTCAAGAATGAAAACTTAAGAACAAATACAGTGAAAAGTTGTCCTAATATTGTTAGATTTTAGAATTTCAAAGAACCTTAAAAGTCATTATTCTAAACTAAATTTTTAGAGATGAGTGACTGGAAAAGTTAGAGAACTTGGTCCTGGTCACCTAGATTGTGTCTGAGCTCACTCAGAACTCCTGACTCCTATGTTAGTGCTCTTTCTGTTGACTGGGCTCCCTGCTTTGTTCTCTCATCTACCATTTTTAGATTAAAATGGATTTTTTAAAAAATAATAAAACATTAGATTTCAGTACAGATAAAAATTATTTATAGTTGACATTAAAAAATCTTATCTATGATTACTTGATAGTGTAAAATTGTGAGGCCTTTTCACAGATAAGATTTCATACAGTTGTTAAAACACAGCTTGGCTGCAGTTGGTTTGGAGAAAGTCTTATGAATTCCAGTGTCTTTGTTTTATGTTGCAGCATCACTCTCGGTGGGTTTGGAGCTGACCGTTTCTACCTTGGCCAGTGGCGGGAGGGCCTCGGCAAGCTCTTCAGCTTTGGTGGCCTGGGAATATGGACGCTAATAGATGTCTTGCTAATTGGAGTTGGCTACGTTGGACCAGCAGATGGTTCTTTGTATATTTAACTGTTATTACGACATGCTTCAGAGAGGAGCACCTTAGAAAAGTCCTTTTGCCTGTAGAAAGTAATGTGATATGTAGTGATGTACAGGTATGCACGGCATAATGTCCAACTGGGAAATGTCTTACATCCATGGCACAGAGAGAAGGGGCTTGCTTGGAAGGGCATCAGGAGGTTTGGCTGCCAGTTGAGTTTGTGGTGCTGCAGCTGCTGTGGCTCAGCCGTAGCCCCCAAGCTGTGGCAATTTGGAGTCCCTGAGCCATGACTACCCCAGCTGCTATGGGGGGCTGCCACTGGGTCTGTGCTCTGCCCAGCTGCCCTTCAGGTCAGTGCCTTTGGGGGGATGCTAGGCTACAGCCACTCTGTCCCTCCAAGAGAGTCCATTCCAACCAGACTTCCCACAGCTGCTCAGAGAGTCCTGCACACCCTGAGGCTGTCAATTGCAGGTTCAGGTTTACAAGCTCTGAGGCTCTGTGCACTAACAGAGAGCCAGAGCAGCTTGTGTGGAGGTTACTTTGATACATATGTTTCAAATATACACAAACATATATACTATATATAATGTGTTCACACAATGTTCAAATCCCAGTTCAAATCCCATAACGTCCTGTTTCACAGAACATATTGTGGGCATTAAGTGATGCATACCTGTATTTGTTTGTAATGTACAGTATCTGTACTTTGCTTGCCTTAATTAAGGTAAAATAAGTTAGTCATTCTTGTTTATTTGGAATTTATTTTTGCTTGCCTGAAATAATATTTTTTTTCTGTGAAAAAATTTAAACTTGCTTAGTTGAACTAGAAGAACAGATTCTGCAGTGATTGAAATTCTATTTTATTCCTATAACTTTATTTTGTATTGTTTAAGTCAAAGTCTGTCACATATCTCTGAGCATAATCTGCCTTGAAAAATTCTTTAGCTGTGATTGCAGAAAGTGCAAAGTGTTTTTATTCTGTTAGCTAAATAAAGTTATCTGCCTAAACTTAATAGCCATCTGTAGTTCTGCAGTGTATAGTATCTGTGTGTTGGTATTAGGTGCTGTCTAGTTGCTTCTGAGTTTTAGTGACTGTACAACAGAAGAAAACACTGCCCTGTCCTGCACCTCATCACAATCATTGCTATATTTGAGCTCAGTGTTGGCAGCTGCTATATGATTCCATCTCATTGAGGGTCTGCCTCCTTCTCTAACTCTCCACCTTATCAAGCGTGATGTCCTCCAGGGACTGGTCCCCCCGATAACATGACCAAAGTATAAGAGACAAAGTCTCACCATCCTTAATTCTGGGGATCATTCTTGTACTTATTCCAAAACAGATTTGTTCATTCTTTGGGTAGTCCACAGTATATTCAGTATTATTTTCCATCACCATTAATGATGCATTAAATCATCTTTTTTAGTCTTTCTTATTCATTGTCCAGGTTTTGTGTGTATATAAGTTGATTAGAAAATGCCATGCCTTGAGTCAGGCACACCTTAGTCTTCAAGGTGACATCTTTGCTCTTTAACACTTTATAGAAGTCTTTTGCAGCAGATTTCCCCACTGCAGTATGTCATTTGATTTCTTGAGTGCTATTTCCTTGTGCATTGGTTGTGGATCCAAGTAAATAAAATGAAATCTTTGACATCTTCAGTCTTTTCTGCATCATGATATTGCTTGTTGGTCCAGTTTTAAGGATTTTTGTTTTATTTATGTTGAGGTTTGATTCACACTGAAGGCTGTAGTCTTTGATCTTTATCAGTAAGTACTTTTAAGTTTTCTTCACTTTGAGCAAGCAAGGTTGTATCATCTGAATTTTGTTTATGAGTCTTCCTCCAATCCTGATGTCATGTTCTTCTTCATATAATTCAGCTTCTTGGATTATTTGCTCAGGATACAGACTGAATAAGTATCATGAAAGGATACAACTCAGACACGCATCTTTCCTTATTTTAAACCACGCGCTATTCCCTTGTTCTGTTCGAACAGCTGCCTCTTGGTCTGTGTAACCATGACCAACTCATGAGCATGTAACTCATGAGCACAATTAAGTGTTCTTTGCAATGTTATTCATAATTTGTTATGATCCACATAGTCAAATGCCTTTGCATAGTCAATAAAACATAGGTAAACCTCTTTCTGGTATTTTTTTTTTTTTTTTAGTCAAGGTCTAACATCAGCAATGATACCTTTGTTCCATATCCTCTTCTGAATCCAGCTTGAATTTCTGGCCTTTCCTGTCAATGTACTGCTGCAGCCATTTTTGAATTATTTTCAGCGAAATTTTATTTGGATGTGATATTAATGATACTGTTCGATAATACCTGTGTACTCTAGTGTTTATCTCTAACTAAAGTAAACTGCAGAACGTCTGTGTCTAGCTGCTGTGGTTTGAATTTTGTTAGTAATATAAAAAGTTGTAAAAGTACTGAAAAACTAATAAAATGACAAATTACTTTAAGAAATGCAGGTCTGGTTTCTATATTTAAATATAATCCTGAATAGTCATAACATCTTTATTATTAAGTATAAAATGTTTATTTTTCCAGGCGTTACTCTACTCCAACAGAAATATACATAATTGGCTGGTTTATTGACACAGAGTGGGAAGTGTTAAAAAATGTGTCTTGCTGTGAAAAACGTTTTTGAGTCTTTATAAATCTGTTGTACACCCTTTATTAGAAAGAAAAACAATGATTAATCCTAAATGGGTTTTACTTGGTAGTTCTCTTGAAATATTTAAAAATTGTTATTTTTCCTTTCACATTTGAATATCAGAGTATTGTGTGTGTGTATGTGTGTAGTAAAAGTATATATAACAAAACATTTGTCATTTTAACCATTTTTAAGTATACAATTGAATGACGTTAATTAGATTGACTTGTGTAGTGCAGCTATCACCACCATCCATTTTCAAATGTTTTCATCCTCCCTAAACAGAATTTGAGTATTACTTTTTAAACATCTGCAAGTATTAATTATCAGAATACTATTAACCAACCTATCAGATCTGGAAGCTATAAAATACCTTTCAGGAATACTCTTCACCATCACTCCTGAAGAATATTTCAGGAGTACTCTTCACCAAATTATGAGTTGGAGTTTACTTAAAAGGAGAACCAATTACTGTGGTGAGCACTTGCCAAGAATGGGTGTTTGAAGCACAGAATTTTTTCTGATGAGGTGTGTTAGTATAAAGGAACCCTCGTGGTACAGTGGGTAAGTACTGGGCTGCTAACTGAAAGGATGTCAGTGGTTCATACCCACCAGCTGCTCCATGGGAGAAAGATACAGCAGTATGCTTCCTTAAAAGTTATAGCTTAAAATTCTTATGGGTCAGTTCTACTCTGTCCTACAGTGTTGCTGTGAGTCAGAATCGACTAGACAGCAGCAAGCTTGGGTGTTGGTATAGTTGAGTATCTTTTCACAATGCTCAGTTAATCTGTGTACTGAGCAGATAATCTGAGAAGCTGGACTATAAGAAGAACACAACATCAGAATTAGAGGAAGACTCATTAACAACCTGTGACATGCAGATGATGCAACCTTGCTTGCTGAAAGTGAGGATGACTTGAAGCACTAACTGATGAAGATCAAAGACTACAGCCCTCAGTATGGATTACACTTCAACATAGAACAAAATCCTCACAACTGGATCAATAAACAACATCATGATAAACAGAAAAGATTGACATTGACAAGGATTTCATTTTACTTGGATCCACAATCAGTGGTCAGGGAAGCAGCAGTCAAGAAATCAAATGACATACTGCATTGGGAAAATCTGCTGGAAAAGACCTCTTTAAAATGTTAAAGAGCAAATATTTCACTTTAAAGACTAAGATGCCTTGACCCAAACCACACTATTTTCAGTCACCTCCTATGCATGTAAAAGCTCTATTGTGAATAAGGAAGACTAAAGAAGACTTGATGCCTTTGAATTACAGTGTCAGAAGAATTTTGAACATACCATGGATTCCCAGAATGAACAAATCTGTCTTGGAAGAAGTACTTCCAGAATGCTCCTTAGAGGTGAGACTTCTTTCATACTTTGAACATGTTATCAGGAAAGAGCAGTTCCTAAGAAGGATATCATGCTTGGTAAAGTAGAGGGCCAGTGAAGAAGAGGGAGACCCTTAAAGAGCTGGATTTGCACAATGGCTGCAACAGTGGACTCAAACAAAACAATGATGGTTAGAATGGTGCAGAACCGGGCAGTATTTCATTCTGTTGTACCCAGGGTCACTATGACTCAGAAGCAACTTGGCAGCACCTAACAATAGTTGAGTAACAGTTCCAACACTAGTCACTAGGTGGTGCATCACCAGTTATGTTTCACCTTATATTTCTGAAAGAGCCAAACTTAACTGAAGTTGTTTGAGTGCTTCAGGATGATGGTAGCCTATTTTTGTTGTACATTTTTCCTCAAGGGAAAACATGGTCTTTCCTATGAGAGAGAGTAAGACTTTCTTGGTTAAGCAGGTATTTCTGAGAAGAGGTCATAGAAGCCCCTTTGCTAACTAATAAAAATTGCCCCTGAATGTCCTCCATGTTCTCTATTCAGGAGAGATTCTCCACCATTTCCATGTTCTGCCACAGAAGGTGGAATGTTCTCCAACAATTTCCATGTTCTGCCACAGAAGCATCACTGGCTGTGCGTGTTGCTTAGGGAAGACATGCGGAGTGAGTGCCTTGACAATCAATCTTTATGGCTATGGGGCCTGAAAGATGAAAGATGCAGAAAAGGGGCTAATGAAGAAAGTTGAAAGGCTCAGAATCCATGAAAGGGTCATGTGTGAATAAACTTGTTCTCAAATCCTGAAAAACTTGCACACCTAAAGGATGTAAGCAAGTTAGAGAAACTTCATATAAAGTATTAGGTGGAGCTTTTGGCCTCTAAGAACCATTAGGATCTGTGAGGAGATTTCCAAAGATAGCTTAAACAAATTTTTGAGTGATGAAATCATGTTAATAGTTTCTGGCAAGTCAGTTCTGACTCATGGTAACTTTATATACAGCAGAATG